TTGGCAATGAAGTTCCATTGTTATTACTCCTCTCCCGTTAGATGCGACTTATGCCTGTGGCCTGCCAAAATCTTTATGTACCTTAATTCTGACACCTGCTATATTTTCTACCCCACTTAGATATTTGACATCTGAAAATGTGATAAGCTTGTTTACCATTTCTTTATTTGATAAACCATGAACTAGACCAGGGCATGCCACCCAAAACCTGTTGTCACTGGCCGCTTAGTCAATACCCTTTTGCATAAAATTTGAACAACTTGTGAACTGTACTTATCTATTCATGAGAATGGCACAAGATATGTTGGCAAAAATAGAAAGAGCAGGTCTGCAATATTTAAAATTCCAGAAACTTACCCCAGTAACATCAAAGGGAAATGATACTGTCTAATACACAGCTGTCAGTATTGAGCTTTGAATGTTTGTAAAGTTGTGTTGATACTCTACTGATGAGTACTTCCATGTAATCCATGTTTTTGAAAATCATGAGTGGAGAGTGTTTTCATGAACAAGAACCTAAACTCCATATCCTTACAACACTGACCAAACTGTGGCAGGTTTAGGGGTGGATAGACCTAGGACACTGGGTGATGTTTTTGTAAGCAAACTTCCCCAGAGCTTTATTAGGTCAATGATTTAGCACAATTCGACTAATACCCAGCTCCAGAACTAAGACTTTAAGTCTTGGTGAAACTGAAGCCTTCCCTTATTCAACCAAGATCCATGCCAGGAGGAAACAGAGCGTACCCTAAGAACAGAAAAAAAAATCAACACATATAAATTTTGTATGTAGGTAATGGCTGGGTAGAAGGGATAATTTTCATTCTTTTATAGTTCCAGGGACAAATGGGAAAAATCATAGACTTCAAGCAACCATGCAGTAAGTCTTGGCTCTAACACTTAATAGCTGTGGCATAAAATTTCTTTTTAGAGTAGTATTGATGGTTCCTAATGAAAATACCCTTTTTGCAAATTCTTACATTAAAAAATTAATAACCTTACCTCAAGTCTACAATTAGCTGAGAATTCTCAGTGCACCCCCTAAGTTCTTTTGATAGCTTACTTGTTTATTACTTGTTTATTATCTCAAAATGTATTTGAGATAATAGGGTCAAAATTAAATCTCTGAACCTTTCCCCTTCACTTCTTTCTTCTCTCCCCTCCCTCTCTCTTTCTCTCTCCTTCTCTCTCTTTCCATGGTATTATAGATTGAACTCAAGGGTTTTCATTTACACTCTACCAAGGAGCTGCATTCCAATCCCTTTTAAGATAAAGTATTACTAACCTTTAGCTATATTCAAATTTATACTTTTTCTGAAGTTAAAAAAAATCTATTTCCACAAAACTTCTTAGCACTTCTTTCTTTAGCATATATTTTTATTGTAAAGATGCTGTACAGAGAGGTTACAGTTACATGAGTAAGGTAATGAGTACATTTCCTATCGAGCATTGTTACCCCTTCCTTTGTTTTTCCCCTACCATCCCTTCCCTCCAATTCTTCAACTCCCCCTCTCCCAAGCTGTAAAGTTCATTTTCAACATCTCATTGTTACAATGGGTCAACCTGTATCCTTATTTCAGCATTTTGTTATTTCCCTTCCCCTCCTCAAATTAGAAAAATGTATATATAGGATGGAGGGCACTCGAATCAAATATAGTGAAAACAGGGGTTATACAATGGGGGAAGAACATCTGTGGCTGACAATCACTGCTTCTATGTCCAAGGTAGTATTCTTTCACTAAAAGTGGTCTAAAAAGGATAATTTTTTAGTTCAAATAAGTTTCTGTATTTTTAGGACCCATGGACCTGTAGCAGGTACTTAGAAAGTACTTTTGAAAAATAAACTGACTGATAGTAGTTTGGCCTTAGAGCCAGTTCTTGGTTAACTTAATTTTCTTTTGTAGTAGTCTTCTAGCCAATTTTATAACAGATTGACTATAATAAATACCCTCTTTGTCAAACACACAGACTTATTACTATTTTTCTATTGAACAGGGACTATTGCATACTGTAATGAATAAACATATGTATGTAACATTAGCTAGTGCTGTGAGCCCTAAAAGTGATCTTATCAAGGAAAAACATTCAAAAAAGACTCAGTTGACAATATCAACTGCCTATAACTGCTTTTCATCTCTTAATAGAGAATCACCAATCTCTCAGATCCAGTGTGAAGTTTTGAGGTTTTTCACTGGCATTGCTAGACTTTTATCTGAGCTATTGTTATTTTCTTGGGTGATCTGCATTGAAATTATTGATAAGAATTGCAAATTCTTTGTGTATTGAGCCCTTTCTTATTTAAGATCTATTTACCTGTCTTATCTTTTTTCTTTGCCCAGTCAAAGAACTTTCAATTTTTGATTTCTTTTTGGTGTCTCTGCTTCCAGTTTTTCTCTAGAAATTCTTCCTTTTTGCAGATAAGCTTGTACTAAGATAAGAAAGCTTCTTGAGAAAGCAAGGAAGTCTATAGTAATAATGCTATCACAGAGCAAGGAAGGGCTATGTGGGAAATATCTCAGGTCACAGATTCATTATAATCATGTTATATAGCTTCTAATCATGATCAAGTACAAAGAATATCTTATCTACCCCATCCCAAATATAAAAGGAATTTTATTTGAAATAAGGATAATTTCACAGATTACCACAATCAAATTCATGCCTATAGCTTCATCATTCTGAGCAATGGGAGTGGGGGTTACTCGTTCCAGATTTGGCTCTCTATTTGAGGAATTTTGAGGTAATGGGAGTGCCCTGTAGATTCCTTCCTGTTTAGGACTCAACATCTGTCTGTGCTCTTTTTTTCCTTCATGTTTATAGTTTGTTTTTTTTTTAAATTTATGTATTTTTTAGTTGGTCATGGGGCCTGAACTCTGGGCCTGGGCGCTGTCCCTCAGTTCTTCAGCTCAAGGCTAGTACTCTACCACCTGAGCCATAGCACCACTTCCAGCTTTTTCTGCTTATGTGGTGCTGAGGAATCAAACCCAGGGCCTCATGCATGCAAGACAAGCACACTACCACTGAGCCACCTTCCCAGCCCACAGGTTGATTTTTTTTTTTTTTTTTTGCCTTGAGACATGGTTTCACTATGTAGCACAGACTGGCATTGAACTTCCTATCTTCCTGCATCAGTCTCCCAAGTATTGGAGACATACCTGATAAAACTGACCCTTAAGGAGACATAAATTCTGACAGCATAACAGGTTAAACTGCATTGAAGTCCTTCACAGCAAGAAAGGGCACACAGCCAAGCTTCCTGGACCTTTGTCTCATTACAGGATGTTGCTTAGATATCTGTTGATCAACAGACTGAATTTCTATGACCACTGAGGATCCTGCAAGGAAACTGCACTGAGTATAAACACCAGCTTTTAAAACAGGGGGGACACAGTAAAAGGTAAGTTCCTTTAAAAAATTACCTTTCTGTTCCAAATTTATCTTATAATTTGTTGTCAGCAATAGCTGAAGAAAAGCATTTGTGAACTATCACTGAGAACTAAAAGCATCAGTCATTTCCTCATGCTATTTGAGGACAGAGGAAATCGCCCCAACCTTGGAGAATATTTATTCTCTGCTCTACAGATCTGGAAAATGGGAGGAGGGTTATTGAGATGATTTGAGTACAGGGTAGAGCATAGGTTTCAGTCAGACTAAATATTAAAAGTATATCTCTTAAACATTGAAGGAAAGCAGTATTAGATAAAATACATACAGTTTAATTTGTAAGACTCTGCCCTGGAAACAATACACAAGGAGGTGCTGACTGGTGTTTGTCTAAGATATTTCCTAGCTAGAAGATTTGAGTGTTAGATCTGTGATCTCAGAACTGATCAGAATCTTCACTCCATGAAATACGTTGTAAGCCTGTTTGTGTGTGTGGTGTCCATGTGTATGCATGTATGAGCACTACCAGGGGAGGCCACGGAGAGAAGGAACAGGCATAAGGGGAAATCATTCTATGCTCATGATCTCAGCAACCACACAAACCACTAGGTAGACATGACAACCATCATGAAGATAAGAGGACCCAGGCTATAAGAAGGAAACAAACTCAGGTCTGTTGGTTCTAAGATCTAAGCAACATCTATTACAGTTTCTCTTCTTCATTAGGCTGCCGTATGGATATTGGTATAGTCTAACATAGAACATTTGTTACTATATCTGATTCATCAGATTCTTTCTGTTATTCTATAGTTTGTATTACTGAGAAAGACAAAGGACAACAAACAACTATTCTGGTTTCCACTTTTTGCTTGGAGATGCTAATTCAGTATGTCTAGTCTTCCCAGATTGTTAATTGTTCATTATTACTATATATACCTAAGATTCTAAATCCTAAATTACCTGGAAAAAAACTGCTTCATTCTGTATCTTTCTCTGGCAAGTGGAAAGAGTATGACTAAGTTTAATAGTTTATCATATGTGCAAGAACTAGAGAAAGATGTGGGGACATATCATATTGCTACTAAAGTTATTTTAAGATATATTTAATGAGCTGGGAAGGTTCACAACACATATATATTGTGATCACATTTTTCTAAAATCAAATATGTGTTACTCAGAAAAGGCAAATTAAATTAAAGCAAACCAATCAAATGCAAGCAATAGGTAGGGAAGGGTAATCTTACTTTTTTCTCCAAATCTTTAGAAAAACTATTCCCCAAACCTCCAAAATGGTTTGTTACTTTTAGAATCAGATAATAATGTTATTTAAAATGATCAAGGCATAACTGTAGTAGAAATGGCATGGCTCTAAAAGCCACACATTATAAACACAGTGAATTATTCCTTCTGTAGAAGTGGGAGAACATGAAAAAATGCAGAAATAGGCTATTTGGTGAGATCTGATTACTTGGAAACATGAGAAAATGTTCATGTGCTTTGGAACAAATAACTTATTTACTTATTTGCTTGTTTGTTTTCTGAAGTCTATCCCAGAATGAACACAATGTGAATGATGCTATGCTTTATTATTCCTGAAAGGTACAGGGGAAAGAAGAATGGGAGGAAACAAGAAAAGACAAAAGAAGCTGAAGAATGTTCCACAAATTCCTGGCATTCAAGTCCCTACCTCTGTTGCTGACACTTCCTTGCTCAAGGTAGGGCATTTGTTGTTGTTGTTGTTTTGTTGGTTTTCTTTTGTCAGTTATGGGGCCTGAACTCTGGGCCTGGGCACTGTCTCTCAGCTCTTCAGCTCAAGGCTAGTGCTCTACCACTTGAGCCACAAGTCCACTTCTGACTTTTTCTGCTTATGTGGTGCTGAGGAATCGAACCCAGGGCCTCATACATGCAAGACAAGCACTCTACCACTGAGCCACCTTCCCAGCCCAAGATAGGGTGCTTTATTCTCAAATAAAAAGCCTTGTTTATCTTTCTCTTGGTGCTTTAGGACTTTTCCTAATGTCTCTTTCTCCCAATTCTGGAACTTGTATGATTAATGTAATTTGAAGGCACAAAGGAGAGAGTAGCTTAGCATTGGGAGGACTTAATACTAAACCTATCTAATTACAGCAGCTCTGCTGAACTGTCACCTCCGGTGGCTCATTGGCTTACTTGTGATGGAATGCTGTACTTTCTTGCTGAAGCTTTTTTTGGTCTAAGCTAGTCATAGCACTCATAAGCTTTGTAAACACTTCAGTTTCTTTTCCTTCTACCCCTTCCAGGAAGGCATAGACAACAGAATAAGAACGGTAGATGTTACTTACTACTTCTCATTAAGGATACTTAAGAGTTTTGCTAAGGGAAAGAAGTATCTTCATAAAATAAAGCTGTAATTTTTAAGGTTTTTATCTTGCCTAATGTAAATTCTCACTGTAGTTTGGAACTTTGCTCTTAAAATTGGTTTGTAATTTTCTTATTATCTGTTCTCAATCATTTGAAAGGCTTAATTAGTTATTCAGGAAGGGAATCCATTATCTTCTTCAAATTCAGAAATTGTAAGGCTACATTGATGTCTCAAATTTTGAGACACTTGGCTTTATTACGTTTGTTCAATATCAATTTTTATCAAATATCAATATCAAATTTAATGTCTAGACCTCAAAAACAAATGACATGAACAAAAAAACTGTCTCATAGATTTTAGTCCCACACAGAATATCTTATAGGAAAAGCCATCTTGTCCTACTTTTATACAATATCTTAACTTGAATTTTTATTTGGTAGCTACCTAATAGTTTTGATAGTTCTGACATTGCTTAAATTTCTCCTCTAGGATAACCTTTTGTTGAACTTAATTTTACTAGACTGGTGATGTCATTCTCTGTTTTTCATCTGTAAATAACCACAAAAAATTGCTCACCTCATAGGAATGTTATAACTTAAAAGCTAATACATGAAAAGGCTTGTCTTATCATATAGTAATCATTCAAGATATAGTAAATATAAAATAGCAATTGGAACCTATCCCAGTTGGGCATTGGTGGCTCATGCTTATAATTAGCTTCAGGAGGCTGAAATCTGAGGATCCTGATATAAAGTCAGGCAGAGAAGTCTATAAGACTTGTATCTTCAATTAAGCAGCCAAAAACCCAGAAGCAGAGATGTGGCTGAAGTGGTACAGTAAATAGACTTGATCAAAGGCATCAAGTGAGAGTGTAAGAACCTGAGTTCAAACCCCAGTACTGACACAGAAAATGGAAAAGTAAAACATCTTTTCTTCTATTTTCCTCTCTATCTGTGTGACAGTGGCCCTCTGAATGATCTGCCCACCAATGTCCACCATCTCTCAAGTCCATTGTCTAGATATAACAAGGCTGGTGTAACCTTTTTAAAGTAACAATCTGGCCAGTTTAAAGTATGGCATTTGGAGCCAGGTGCTGGTGGCTCATGCCTGTAATCTTAGCTCCTCAAGAGGCTGAGATCTGAGGATCACAGTTCAAAGCTAGCCTTGGCTGGAACATTCGTGAGAAACTTATCTAAAATAAGCTACTGCCAGATGCTGGTGGCCCAGATCTGTAATCATAGCTACTCAGGAGGCTGAGATCTGAGGATCGAGGTTCAAAGCCAGTCCAGGCAGGAAAGTCAGTGAGACTCTTATCTCCAATAACCACCAGAAAACCCGAAGTCTCACTGTGGCTCAAGCGGTAGAGCGCTCACCTTGAGCTGAAGAGTGCAGGGACAGCACCCAAGCCCAGAGTTCAAGCGCCATGACCAACCAAAATAAATAAATAAATAGATAAATAAATTAAATTAAATAAGCTACTAAGAAGCTAGAAATAGAGCGGTAGCTCTAGTGGTAGAGTGCTACCCTTAAGCAAAAGAAACTCAGAGATAGCATCCAGGCTCTGGGACAGCTAAATCATTTTTGCAGAAGGAACAGAAGCTGCCTTATGCATAGCCAGATGATGAGACCACTGGACTCCACCAGTGCGGATCAGCAGCCTTCACTTTTCCTTTACTCCAACTGGAACAATCAAATATCCCTCCAAATGATGACTGGGCATCAAACCCACCTCTGTCAACAATCCTTGCCTTCAGTAGAGAATTTTAATGGCTCCTTGTGTAAGTTATATTTTAAATTCAATAAAGTAAAAAGGTCTCCATGAGCTTTTCCTGTCTAATTCAACAACTTCCTTAATTCAGATTCCATGCTATTTTTGAACTAAGGAAAAAGGAAAGCCTGGTTCCCTACATATCCAAATATTTTGTGCCCCATAAGAGCATTTTGCCTCCTTTATTTTTAACTGACTTTTTTTTTCCAGTCCAGTGCATCACAAACTTTAGACTCTACGTTTGAGAATCAACTGAGGGTATGAAACAATAAAATGTAGGGCCCAAGGCTCACAGTTTCTGATTCAGCAGGTTAAGGCTTGAGTTGAGAGTTTTGGTATTTATTTTACTGGGGTTGCCCAGAGCCTTGTGTATACTGGGCAATTACTCTCTCCCTGAGCTCTGTCTCCAGCCCTGAGAATTTACATTTCTAACAGATGCCTAGGTATTGCTCATGCTTTGAAGAACAGTATTGTAGCCCCTCGGGGACTCTTCCTCACCCTGCAGACTTTGATGCAGTAGGTATCTCATTAAAGAAGCTTACCTGGACTGCTACGGGTAATTTGTTCTCCTGCATTTTCATAATACTTTCTTACTGTTGATGATAACCACTTACCTACCACATTATCCATCTAGTCACTCATCTTCCTTCCCTTCTAGGAACTTTCTACTGAAGGTCTGACCCATTCTGAGGCTGGTTATAATTCAGACCTATATAGATCTCCCAACATACCATCTCTACAAAATCTTAAATCTTGGAACTATTTGGATTTCCCTCAGCCCACTACCATGACCCTCTTATTTTTTTTTTACCATTGTAAAGTCATTCACCTGCTCTGTTCTGACAGGACCTAACCCGAGGACAACAATCCTACTTTTACAGCATCATGAGGATTTATGACTCCAGGCCCCAGTGGGAGGCCCTGCAGAGCCGCTATATTCAGAGGCTGGCACACCAACAGCGGCTGGGTGAGTCTACCTGCCTGACCTGAACCAGCCTCTCATCAGGAAGGGATTTGTGTGCTGTAGTCAGGAGTCAAGTTTCCAGATAAATAATTCAAGAAAAACGGCTTTTGCCAACCTGTTTCAGCAGCAGGATTGGCTAGCTAAGTTTAAAAATGATCATCATAGACAACATACATAGATATAGACATACAGACAACAGTATATATAGACAACATTTGGCTAAATTAAGAAGGCTTAATAAACAATAGTATGCAGTATTATAAAATGTATTTTTTAAAAGCTATCTGAGTTGGGAGGACCTCTTCTACATCACTATCAATGCCACTAAGTTTAGAAAGCCAACCTAGGCTTCCACCATGGCACTGGTCCTTGGATGTCTGTGAAAACTAGGAAGCCTGGTTTCTTAAAATAATAGTTACTTTTCTTTTGGGGGCATTTGCTATGTCCCATAGATAGGATATACCTCATTTTTCTCCACACTTTATAGTTGTGAAAAATGCAACTATGGGTAGGTAATGCAATTTAGCGAAGATTGCACAGATAGCCAGTGCCAATGAGGACTTCAAGCCAGAATTGGAGTCTCCCAAAACCACACACCCCTGCTCTGTGGGCTCTCCTCCTCTACCAACCCCTTCAGATTTTATGGAACACAAGTGAAACCATGGTTGTGAAAGACCTGCACATATCATAAGCACCAACCTACTAAAAGCTATCATTAAGTCTTTCTGTGTGAGAGACGTTTCCTGTTGCCAGCCCCTCTGTTACGTCCTTCTCCTAACTCTGATGGAAAACTGAAGCATGGATAAGTAAAATATCTTGATTAGGATTGTGCAACCAGTATGGCCCTGATTCAGAGCCAGGAGTTGGCAGGTACTCGTGATTATGTGCAGTGCTGGAGAAACATTGCCATCGGATTGCTTTATTCTCAGAGCAAAATTGCATAGAAACCAATAAATCTAAAAGCAGACACATTCAGTATTTAGGGCACATGAATCCACCTGTCACCTCCATAAGGTGTAGGTATCTGAGACTCATCCTCTGAGTTTCTGATTCCATAGGTCTGTGGAATAGTCAGAAGAATACATTTCAATTTTTGAAAAGCATAGCTCTTCCCCAAGGTGATTCTCCACTTGGTTGTATATAGGACATTTTGAGAGACACTGAAAGGGATCAAATACCTCTCTTCCTGGATTTAAAGAAACTGCAGCATGCACTGTTATAAAATGTAAAAAAAAATAAGGTTTAAAGAAACTATAGCGTGCTCTGTTATCAATAACATTGTTATCAGAAGAACATTCTGATATCGAAGACGAGTTACTCATGTGACAATTCCTCATTGCTCAAGTCTTTCCCCCAAGTGATCTGACCTATTAAACAATGAATGACTAAATATTTACTAACTCATTGAATGAGACATACAAAAAAAGAAAACTATAGTACTTTACCCTCAGAGATAGGCATCCTAACTACAAAAGAAGATCTCTTGTGGACATATCTGAATATTACATGTTTTATTTAGTTCTCTAAAACTGTCAATGTGCTAGTTCCTCTTATTTTCTCCCCTCCTTCCCAGGCTATATCACCCAGCAGGAAGCCTTGGCTTGTGGTACTCTCCTTATAGAGTCAACCAAGAAAGCCTCAGCCAAGGTAGCAAAGCAATGGACCGTTTCCCGGAAGTCTTCAGCCATGACAAGAAAATGTCTGTCAGCAAGACCCAAGTCTGCAGCTGGTCCCAGGGCCCACAGTGCACGGTGCTGAGTATCCGGAGCCAAGGTTGTACAGCCCCTGCACATGGCAGTTTGTCTGTGTATCCTGGCATCCTTAGTATTCAGCGTGTGCTTAAGCTTATATTTCCTGAATGACAATGAATAAAAGAGTAACTACTAATACAAACCTTAGGCCTAGAAATAATCTTTCATTCACATAAATTTTACCAGTGAGAACAAGTTGTAAGGTTTACAAAGCTATAGAGCAGAGACGAAGCTTTCCCACATATCATCTGTGGAATAAAATGACTTTCAAAGTTTTCAAAGGGAAAACTTCCTCTGTATTTGAACCTCCCAGGGAAATCCTAAGAACAGGACAAAAGAGAAGTGACAAGAGGGTGCCAGGCCCTCTACTCCATATAAACTGGCAACCCAGTGCCTAGACTGAAAATACATAAACCTAATTTGAATTAAAATGAATCATGGAGTTTCTGCAACACCATCATGGCACACGTCTCTCCTTCTTCTCTTTGTTCCCTACAAGCCATAGTGATCATCTTGGTCCCAAAGATTCTGGTTCTAGCCTGTCCCAATCACTTGGTATTCTCCTGAAACTTACACTTACCAGTGTGACTGCCAAGAAGATGATCACTTGGCCTTCCAAAGAATTCATGTAGACATCTTTCTCGAGCAACCAGACTCTCAGCAGAGCAAGAAATAGCCTCCAAGAATGGATCTTAAGTCTAACCTCGTGGTGGCTTTGAAGATTTTCAGCAAGGCACACATGACTATGCAAATGAGCAGACCATGAGGTTTAATGAGTCAGGTTAAGTGTAGAAAAGATGTGTTCTGAGATCCTACCTGACTTTTCTTTAGGAAGGACAGATGGTTGGCCCCACAGTGTGTTGGGAAGTCTGGGAAACTGACACAGACCTCTAGAGGGTCATGCATGTAGTCCTAGAGAAGCTTCTTGACCCTGGCAAATCCTAGGGCTTACTCAGGTATTCTAAATAGCTTTATAGTTCTTAGCGAGGAATTGTTCATAGATTTAAAAGAAGAAAAACATCAAATAAAACGAGGGTGAGCTAAAGGGGAAGCCTTTTATGAGACAGAGATTTGAGGGAGTCCTGAAAGCCTACACTAACCTTCCCACTGTTTGCACCGTGGGCTTGTTAGCCCTCTGAACTGCTGACTCCCACTTTTTTTCTTATACTTTTGTGTTTTGATGGGCATAGATACTTGCTGTGTAAGCCATGGCTAGGGATGCAGAATACCAACAAGACCACTTAGGATTCTGAGCTACAACCCTGCACCAAAACTCTCAGAAGCATCTTATTTCCAATAGAGGATTTTACATGCTGACGGCCAGATGAATGTCTGAGGCACACGCAAGAACAAATGGATTGAATAGATCTAAAGTATTGCAGGAAGCCCCTCCTGTGGGCTCTCCTTTTTGAGAAGATACTAGTCCTCTGCAAAGACCCTGAAACTTATGAGATACATGGTGACTTGTGGTGCTAGGAGCAAATGCTCATTTGAATTGAGAAAAACAATTAAATGGTGGAAAAACCAGAACTTGAAACTTTTAGGCACATCTACTACATTGCCCTATTGGAAACTATATTGCTTGTTTTCACAATGTGAGTGAATGCTAACAAAATTTAAAGTCTCTGAAAGGCATAGTAGAACCTACCTGTAATTCTAGCACTTGGAAAGCTGAGGCAGAAGGATCTTTAGATTCAAGCCAATTTGTGCTATGAACTGAAACCCTGTTTCAACAAACATACAAACAAATCCAGGTATGCTGGTGGCTCATGGCTGTAATCTCAGCTACTGAGGTGGCTAAGACTTGAAGGATCACATTTGAGGCCAGCCCTGGCAGAAAAGCTTACTAGAATAGACCCCATCTTAACTGAGAGTTGGGAATGGTGGTATATGCCTCGGTGGCTATTTCTATGTGACACTATCTACAGGGGACGCAGCCTCTCTTCGATAGTGACCTATAGCCAAAAGCTGTCCCCTTTGGCATACTGCTGAGACCTGAGCTGCCTGTGAGGAATTCCATCCTATCATTTTCCTTTATATTTAGGTGGAATTCTAATTGTGCATTTTGTGGTCTGTAATGATTCTACTTTGAATGCATGCTCACTAACCAAATATGTTTAAGGATCCATTGTTCTTTTAAATAAATGGCCCAGATATTTTTTTTCTAATTTATTTTATTGTTGTTTTAGAGGTGCTATACAGCAGGGTTACCTTTACATACTATGGGGAAGGAGATATCAGAGGTTTTTATTATCTTGCAATACTATGGATTGATCCCAGGGTCTTTTGCCTGCTAAACCAGAGTTCTATCACAGACCTACATCTCCACCTCATCTTTATATAATTTATATGTAACAAATACCCTCAATTAAAATTCAACATATCTTGACAAATGCATTCACATATTTATCTACTACCACAACTGTGATATAGAACATTCACATTTCCCTCAAATCATAACATGTGTGGTCAAATTCCTCCTCCAAACTCAGATTCACAATAATCACAGATCTGTTCTTATTACTATTGTTTTGACCTTTTGAAGAACTATATGTAACTAGAATTTAAATATACACCCATTATTGGCAGCATTGAAGTTTGAACTCAGCGTCTTATGTTAACTCTAGAGCCACACATCCATCCTTGCTTTATGCTGGTTATTTGGGAGATGGAATCCCATAGACTTTTTGCCCAGAAGGATCATAGCCTTGAGTCATGATTCTCTAGATTTCAGCTTTGTGAATAGCTAGAATTACAGTTATGATCCACCAGCATCCAAGCAAGAATATATTGCCTCTGGCTTCTATCACCTAGTACAAGGTTGTTAAAACTTATAATATTACATATATTAGTAATTTATTCCTTTTGTTATTGAATAGCATTCCATTGTGTGTGTGTGTGTGTGTGTGTGTGTGTGTGTGTGTGTGTGTGTGTGTGTGTGAACCATAATTTGGTTTATCATTTTCTGTCTGATGAATATTTGAGTTGTTTCTGGTTAGGTATTAATAGGAATAAAAACACTAGATATATTTGAATGTAAGTCTATTGAATATTAAATGTCCTTGGACAGATACCTAGAAGTACAATTATTGAATTTTATGAGACTTTTAAGTTACACATAAATGCATGAAATATTGCCATCATGTTTTCCAGAGTAGCTGCACAATTTTGCACTCCCACTAGCAATGTAAAAGAACTCTAGTGGTTCTATTTCCTTGCAATGTAAAACATTTTAATTCTTGTATTCGTGTCTATTGCTGTTAGGCAGAGAAACATTTGATTTTGTGGGAAACTCTGCTCCTAGTAGTTACGGTTATCTCTTATCTTTAAATTAAGAACCCTAGTAAGTGTCAGGGAAGAGAGTCAGAATAGACACTTGGTAGTGATGGTGATAATATGGTAGATTAATAGAAGAAACATCAAGCTTTAGCAGTTTCCCTAACAAGGCAACTGCTCATCTCACTTTTAGATGAGGAGGGAAATATAAGCTCAGTCCTGGAGCAGAACTGTGGTACAGATTCAGCATGTTCTCATTACCTTCTTATGTGTTTTTATTTACATTATGCTTCAGGTTCAACAACAAATCTCCCTCTACCATCAAAATCTTACTGGCAAGGAAGGTATTAGTTATCTGTTGCTGCATAATGTTACTCTCAAGTGTAATTATTTAAAATACCAATATTCACTATTTCATAGTTTGGGGTGTCAAGAGTTGAACATAGATGGGGTGGGACATCTGGCTCAGTGTTACACACAAGGCTGCAATCAAGATGCCATCTGACAATCTACCCAGGGAACCACTACCCAGCTCTCCCAGCGTGACAAATTCATTTCCTTGGGATCTGGTGGATTCAGAGCCTCTGTTCTTTACTGGCTATGGGATGCCCTGTGTTTTGCCACATTGGTTCTACAATAGAGCAGCTCAGAGTTAAAGAACGAAAGTATACATGTAAGGATGAAGTCACAGCCTTTCATAACCTAATCCATTACAGTTGTGGGTGTCACTGGGTCCAATCCACACAAGGATAGTACATTATAAGGGTGTGAGAGTACCGGGCAGTGGGCTTATTGGGAACCAAAGTCAGGACTAGAATGAAAGGAGTAGTATGCCCAGAGATGCAACATTGGAAGAATGACTTGTTTCTATACAACTGTAAGAGTGAATCCCACCTGACTCCTCATTCACCTTACCCTGGTTCTGGCTCTGCCATCGGCACTTATACATATCTAGTGCACTTACATTGACTTCTGCTCACTGAATCAGGGCTCCCTGCTGAGACAGCCTGCCTAAGCCTGTCCTAGCAGGCAATTGGCCCTCACTGCATGATTCTCTCTAGAAACTTGGCTATTTGTGTTCCAATCCCCCAAAACACTGTTGGAGAAAATTGGAATCAGATAAGCCCAAAACAATCACACCTGATTCTTGGATGATCTCTATATTTAGAGTACTATTTATCAGAATGCAATCCATATGCCAGACTCATTGAGGACACTTTAAAAATGCAAATTGCTGGGTTTCTCCTCAAGCCAGTTAATCAAAATATGAGAGATAGCATCCTAGGGTATGCTCAAGCTTATTGCAATAAATAGCCTTTTGAATCTAAGGAGTGATTTCAGTTATGATATTTTAAAACTAAAATATCTGTCTGATATATGTGGGAAAAATTTAGAGAAAAGAATTGCATGACAACAACAGGTTTTTAGGGGCAGGGAGTGTAGGGAAAGTATCTGCTTAAAGAGCTTTAACATCTCATGTGAACAGATTGCTTATTACTGACGAAAAAGCCAAGGTAGGTTCTAATGTAGTATCCATATATACTAAAATGACTATTTTCCATATTGTTGGCATTACTAAATATGCATTACAATTCCACCAAAGTGAATTCTGTCCAGTTTTTTTTACTATCAATCCCTGTTAGTGATGAAGATCATAGGAACACATCCAGGAGTTCCTGCACCTTTGCAAATGAAATGAGCTGCTAATTACATTGGTACTTATAGAGGAAG